GCGTTGTCGTCGTTCGCGTTGGAGACCACAGCGTCGGACTGGAGCCTGTACAAGAAGACCTCCCGGCCTACCAACGCGACGCATCAGACCGCTTCGACTCGCTCGACCTGGATCGCATGGGCGGACTGAAGGAGAAGGACGACAAATACTACTCATGACTCTCATGACACCAATCTCAACACCCGGCTAGACTGCTGCTACAGAAAGTCTAGCAGCCCGGGCCTTCCAGCCACTTGGCTACGACCGACTACCCTTGATGACGGCTATACCGCGCTGACTGTCAGCTTCTCCGTTCCTGCTGAAGCTGTGGCATAGCCGGCAGGGCACACCATTTATGTATATTCTCGGAGTTGACTGGCTATTCCGCTGTATACCCCCTGATGATTGGCCATCTCTTCAACGAGGTTTCTACACCTCTTACATAACTCTTATTCACTAATGTATGATATACAACTCACTCTCTAGCGACTGCGCAGAGCAGCATGAGAGCCAATACAATCCTTTGTCAAGACATACAAAACGCGTGCATTTGATCGTGATGTGAAGTTGACGTGAATGAACCAGTGCATGCAGGGTCTTTGGGTATTCTGGTACGAACGGGAAGCATGCAGGCATGATGTCAAGGCTCGTATTACAAGTCCCAAGCACAGCTAGCGACGGGCGCGAGGCGCGTACCTCGATGGCGGATGCATGACATCGGAGGCTCGGCGAAATGGGTGATCCACTTGTGGATGCTTGCGACACATCCTCACTTTTGTAAACAGCGCACCAACTTTCTCCCCATGGATTCTGTCGCTCCTTGAGGCCTCTTCAGCCATTTGAATCCCATTGAATCTCCATTTGGCATTTGCTAAGCGCCAATTGGCCACCCCTCTCTATCCACCATGGAGAACGGCGAGGTCTTCACGCCTCTGTCCGACATCACCGCCGGCCGGAGCACCGCGCCCAAAGTTCAGAAGCCGGCGCAACAGCCACAACAGCAGCAGCCGTCGCAAGGTCAGCGGACGGCTGTACACGACCCTGATAAGGCGAAGAGGCTTGGGCAGGTGCACTTCAAGGCTGCTCATGGCATCATTGTCGCTTTCTTTACCTTCATACTGTAGGTTTCTCCATCGCAGCCCTTTCCCGGCTTTCCCCTCAAGACATGCATCGCTAACGGTTACCAGAATACTCCACATCCTCGGTATCTACCTCTTCACCAGCGGCTTCCTTCTTACGCGATTGGTGCTCGACCACAAGTCAGAATGCGCCCTCCCCCCAATCGACTCTGCGAACGCGTACACACCGGGCGACGCGGAAAAGGGGTGCTGGCACCCGAAGACATTCAACAAAGCAGTCGTCATCATCGTCGACGCGCTGCGATATGACTTCACTGTGCCCTTCCCCGAACAATTCGAACCTGTCGATCTCGTTGTCAAAGCCGAGAACCCGTCCCAAGCCCCTCCAATCGCCCCGCGCCATTTTCACAATGCTTTCCCCGTGCTATACGACACGGCGAGGAATCAGCCCCAGAACGCGTTCCTCTTGCCCTTCATCGCTGACCCGCCGACGGCCACGATGCAGAGGTTGAAGGGGCTCACAACGGGTACGTTGCCCACCTTCATCGACGTGGGCAGCAACTTTGCGGGCCAGGAGATTCTTGAGGATAACTTGGTCGGACAATTGAAGAATGCGGGCAAGAGGATGGTTCACCTCGGTGACGACACATGGCACGCTCTTTTCCCGGACTACTTCGAGCCGAACCTCACGCACGCGTACGATTCGTTCAACGTCTGGGATCTGCACACTGTTGACTATGGCGTGAGTGAGCACATCTTCCCACTTTTGCAGGCTGAGAATGCCGACAAGTGGGATGTCGTTTTCGGTCACTATCTGGGCGTGGACCACGCTGGACACCGTTACGGACCCGATCACCCTGCCATGGCCGCGAAGTTGAGCGAAATGGACAAGGTGTTCCAGCGCATGATTAGGTCCATCGATGACGACACCCTGTTAGTTGTTATGGGCGATCACGGTATGGACGCAAAGGGTGACCATGGAGGAGAGTCGGATGATGAGATCCAGGCTGCGCTGTGGATGTACTCGAAGAAGGGTATATTTGGGCGCAGCAATCCTGCCTATGTCGCGCCCCCGGCCAACGCAAAGACCCGACCAGTCGGACAGATCGACCTCGTTCCAACTCTCTCGCTTCTTCTAGGCATGCCCATACCCTTCAACAACCTCGGAAAACCCATCGAAGAAGCTTTTATTGGCAAGGACGGCGCTGACTACAAGAATTTGGCTACTGTCAACCGCCTGACAGCGGCGCAAATTCACAACTACCAACATGAGTATGCCAAGGTTCGTGGCATTGCCGATAGCGCAAGGGCTTCTTCGCTTGCTCTCTGGAAGAACGCAAATGACGCGTGGAACTCGCTCGGAAAGTCCAAGGCCAACAGTGACGAGATGCGCCAGGCGTACGAGGCTTTCGGTGCCTACCAGCGCGATACGCTCCGCATCTGCCGCGACCTTTGGGCTCGATTCGACGTCCCCAGGATGGTCAGTGGTGTCACAGTCTTGGCCGCCAGTCTCATCGTGGTTGCCCTCTACGCTAGGATTCTGCATGGCGATCGTGCCGACGTCACTCCCGTCTTCTTCACCCGAGGCGCCATTGGTCTGGTCCTCGGAGGTATCGTTGGTGTTGGCTTTACCATCTTCATGCCAGTGGACGCCAAGTCGCACGTCCTTGTCCTCTCCTCTGCTCTCACTGGAATCGTCGGCTGCGCTTCTACTTTCTACTCGCTGAGTTACCGCCTCATGCCTCCGATGCCAAACAGCATCTGGGGCTGGACGAGTGTCATCTTCACTCTTGCGCTCTCTGGCGGCTTTGCAGCCAACTCATTCACCATCTGGGAGGACGAGATTCTCCTGTACTTCCTGACCACCTTTGGCGTTCTTGCGCTTATCTCATCTTTCCGTCGAAAGAGTATTTCAGACCGCACTCTGGGCGCTTACCACTCCATCTTGTTCACCATCTTGCTTAGGGTTGCGAGCTTCTCGAGACTGTGCAGAGAAGAGCAGATGCCATACTGCAAGTCCACATACTACGGATCCGCTTTGTCCACTACATCCGCACCATGGCAACTCGCCATACCCGTCGCCGCCGCCATCCTCATCCCTACGTTCATCAAGAGCTACTACGACGGCACCAAGAGCTACCAGCACTACGCGACCCTTTGGATAGGTCTCGCACTGCGCTTCGGCCTAATGATGTCCGCCGCATACTGGGCCCTCGACGCCGCCGACGACGGTGAATGGGCCCCAGGCTGGGAGAACATCATCCGCATCACCAAGCGCTTCCTCGCCCAGATCGTGCTCGCCATCAGCATGGCCTTTGGCTACTCAATCTACAACTGGTCCAAGCCACTCCTCAACGTCATCATCAACAAAGACGGCGGCGTCGACGAAAACGGCGCCCCCAAGGAAGAAGTCATCATCCACGGTTTCGCAAATGTCCACGGCTCGCGCTACGCCCTCCTCATCACCATCTGGTACCTCGCCGTTGCCGTCTTACAGAAACCCATGGGCGCAGGTGCAATCGGCATCTTAGTCTGGCAACTCTTCTCTCTCTTCGAAATCATCGACACGAACAACCTGCGTCAATCCGCCATCGGCCCCGTTGTCCTCGGCCTCCTCGGCTCCTTCCACTTCTTCAAAACAGGCCACCAAGCCACTCTCTCCTCCATCCAATGGGAATCCGCTTTCATCCCCTTGACCAAGATACGCTACCCATGGACCCCCATCATCGTCATCCTCAACACGTTCGGCGCACAGATTCTTTGCGCTATTGCGGTTCCGGCGTGCGTGCTTTGGAAGGTTAAGCCTCAGAAGAAGGGTCTGCTTAGTGTGGTTACGAAGGCGGTGGCTACGCATGTTTTGTTTTATGCGACTGTTAATCTGGCGACGACTATGTGGGCGGGGCATTTGAGGAGGCATCTTATGCTTTATAGGATCTTTTGCCCGAGGTTTATGGTGGGCGCGGTGGTTTTGCTGGTTGTGGATGTGGTGTTGATTGTTATTGCGCTGTGGGGGACGAGGATGAGTATGTTGAGTACGGCGGAGGTGTTTGGGTTTGGGGGGTAGATGGGGTGTGTGTGTGAGGTGGAGAGGTGGTGGTTTCAATACTGCTGCTGTTGTGTCTACTCCAGCCCGTAATGGTCTCAGTGTCTGAGTGCGCAGGCTGAGATGGTTGTATAGCATCGCATCCATCGGCGCGGGCTTGGTTGTTGTTGTATTAGCATCGCTTGCAGCGTCTTTTCTGTTTCCTTGTGTTCAGAGTAAGTAACATGTGAAAAGCTCTTCATGTGCAACTTTCCCATTCGCTCCTTCCTCATACCGTATCGTCGTTCCATTATCTTGGTTCCTGCCGTTCGCTCCTGCTCCTTCCGGATCCAAACGCGCCAGAATGGTCCAGATTGGCCCCGCGTTATACCGCTCTCTTACCTCTTACCTCTGCCTATCCTCCTACCAATGCATTGCGAGCGCATTACGTCATGCTTCCTATCGACAACGCAAGCTAAAGGTAAAGGCGGCCGCATCAGTCACCGCTGCCGTCGTCTATATCAACGTCTCAGCCTGGACCTGCGTCTCTCCCACACCACACTCGGAAAGTACTCAAAAGCAAGCCCTATTGCTCACCTCTTTGCGATGAATCTTATGGAGTAACCCTCCTCACGATATATCGATTTAGCAGGGAAGTCGACTACGTCCGAGCGGGGAAGTGATCTCGAACGGGAGCGATAGCGACCACGGCATAGTCGTGCGCTTGACGAGGCTGCCCAAGAAAGCGGTGAGTCTTTCGTTCTTAGTTCATCTCGAGAGTGGTGTGTACTGACTGGCGGTACAGATCAATACTAAGACGGCGCCACTCCAAACACTTGACCTCTACTCTTAACGATAACTCACCTTATCCCGACACTACGTCTCACTCAAAACGGAAGCACATCCATTACCCCGGTAATATGGCTTCACAATTGCAGCAATCAGCGGGCGCAGCGCCTCGGAATGAACCTTGCGAAGAAAGTCCCTATGGCATCTTCGTCGAGGAAGACCTCATCGATGACTCGACCGGCATCGTACCAACAAAGGGACTAGGCATAACGCTTAGCCTGAAGGATCGCTTCCTAAGGCGCTTGTCGAAGATGCTAGGCACCGCAGCGAACATACGAGAGGCGCCCAACGTCAACGCCATGGATATATTCCTGACGAAAGACAAACAGTCGCACCGGCCGAACATTGCGCTCGATGAAGGACTGCGGAAATTTGTGCGCGAGCTCGAAGATGGACTGGCCGCTGTTGCGATGCATCCTTCAGGTATGCTTCATCTAGCTTTGAGCCTTCATCGCTAACATCTATAGGTCCGCCACTCGATCGCGCGTGCTCAGAACTATGGGACATTATTCTTATCTTCAACTACGATAAAGTCGAACAAGTCATACGAAGTATACAAAAGATTTTCGACGAGAACCAGACTACGTTTGATGGGCTCGTTACGAGGATGTTCGGCATTGATGACGCCGACAATAGAGGCTCGATGCTGGATCGAGATCTGGGCGATAATATCATTAGGCTATCACATGACGTCCATGCGTTCGACGGCTCGATGAAAGAGTTGAACAAGCTCGTTCACTTTGCATCAACTATGACGAGGGTACTTCTCAACCTACGGGATCGAATGAGGTATATCCTTGAGAAGAGTTACTTCGCCAACAAATTATTCGACCTCATTTGCGCCCTCGGCTTCCCCGAACGTGTCTACAGCACCTTGATTCGGGCTGCCAGGTCTTCGCAGACGTTTAGGAACGTCACATTCCACCTGAGGCCCAGTTCACCGGTAAAGAATGTTTCTTTTGCCACTCCGATGGCGAGCGCGATGTCCTCAAGCACCATCAAGCCGTCCCCACTACCTCAGAAAGAGAAGTCGAAGCGGATGAAGCAGTACGTAGCGACAGCGGTCGAAACGGCAATTGCAAATCCCACTCTTCCTCTTCCTCTTCCTGCTCCTCCTCCTCGGCCAGCTGTCGCCAGCCTCGGTCCGCTGATGACCGCAGTGCAGCCTTACTTAAGCTCAGAAGATCGAAACCTCGCTCTCCATCGCCTGCAGCCCGCAACCAAGCAAGAAACGGCGCAACTAGTTGGGACTATACTGAGAGAGAGGCTGCTTCCAACAGACACAGCCGCATGGTACGCATTCGGCTTCGTGACCACCAAGGACGAGGAGCAAGAGAGACAGCTAGCAGGACTTTACGTCGCACTACTCAAGGAAGCCAAAGATCCAGAAGCCGCATTCCGCGAACTTCAGAATGCCTTGGAATCGAATTCCATCGTCAAACTCTTCGACCAGTACGAATACAGCCATTTCCGCGACCTATTTCCTTATCTCAAGACCTTCCTCTCCACCCCACCCACCAAGCGGTCCACCGTCTGGCGTCTTCGGCAGTTCATCCTGGATCCGGTTGACGACGAGCCTCCTGCCTGTTTGCAGCGGGACTACGGATTTAAGTTTTGCCGTCAGCGCGAAGAAGTCCTCCGCCTCAAGGAAATACACATCAACATACTGAAGAAGCTGGGCCCGCAAAAGCTGGATATTGCGTGTGTGAACGGCCGCCTATCTGAGACGGCGATGAAAGAGGGAGCTCATATTGATCCGAAGGATAGGCGGTTTCTCAAGAACGACTACGGATCCCCGTTCCTGGGAGTGGACTGTGAAGGCGGTCTTCAGAACTATCGCGGCCCGTTCTACAGGAAGCCGTTGAAGCTTTAGGTGTGGTGTGCGGATGAGCATAACGTGTATGGCGCGCACGGCGGCGAGCCCTGAACATCTGCTTGACGAGCTCTTGGAGAAGGGCGTGAAGCGATGGCTAGGCTTCTGGCATACCTGCGATGAACGTTCGATCATGTCTGCATGCTATTTGGGCGATGACTTGCGATATCGGTTTTACTTTTGGGATTTGTGGTTTTGTATGCGGTCATTCCACGGGACTCATGGCCAAGAAAAGTCGTTGCGATATGTCCATGGGTTTTGGTGCAGCCGAGGCAGCAGGATGGACATGACTTGGGCGATTGACCTTTTGACTTTCTGCTTGTCACTTTGGTCTTCTCAAAAGTTGGGTTTTGCGTGCGGACATGAGTATGTGGAGCTTCTTTTAGCATCAAATTATGCAACGGCGGAGGCATGCAATATATTGACTTCGATAAATACTCACTTTCAATCAACCCTTCATGTTCTGGATGCGTATGGCCAGACTAAGCATGCTTTTCCGCATCTTTGTTCTTTGGAATCTGGACTTACTCACTCATTCCTGCCACCGCAAGAGATTGATGCACGTGACATGGCAGCCGGTGGACGCATATATAAACCCCCCGTTCGCACCATATCTTCTTCTCCGTTACACACATGCCCACCGGGCACTCTCAAAGACGCCGATGAAGGATACATGGCGCTTTCTCCAAAAAAGCAGACCCGAATTGGCATGTCTGTCCCTCGGTCTTCTTCCTCTTCACAAAATTTCTCAAGCCTCCGCAATGTGCGAAGCAGAGATCTTCTCCTCTTATAAACGACAACGCCGCCAAACGAAAGCGGAAAAAGAACAAGTCATGTTGTCAAACACACACCAATGAATCGCCAGCGACATATGATGTTCTGGAAAGACCAAAAAGATAGAGAGAGGCGAAGATGTGCGAGCCTAGTTCTCTCCTCCCTATATCTACGTCGACTTTGAGAGTGGTCTTATTATCTTACATTCTTCTTTCCCTGGGTCATGTTCCAAAAATCGTCAAAAGCCACGTCATGATCCGCTGGCCTGGTCGACCAAAAAAATGAATCCGACGAGATATGCTGCGCGCTTTCTTCTCTTGTTGAACCAAAACTTAATGGAGTGGCTTAAATGTCGGTGTCTGAAAGGCGTTTGCAGCTCTACTATGTTGTGCTGACTTTCCCGCGCGTCGATGTTATACTACCTCCAGAACGTCTCTACAGGATGATGATGCGTGCTGTTTCCACTGCGCTGGCTCCACGACCGAGGCTGATGTTGATGGCGGGTATAAAGCTTCGATCGAGATTGTGGGAAGAGTGTCTTTGTACAATCTTCTTCCTTTGTCGTCTCAAAACCATCTTGGAATGCCGTGATGTCTGGACCGAAAAGTACCGACTCTTTATGAATGGCGTGTGTCTCTCGGCTTCTAATTCTTACATCAAAACCAGATGAAAGACCGGCCATGGTGGTTCTCAAAACATAACATCACATTAGCAATGTGTGCGCCCGTGAACCTCGGGTAGTACTCCCGATGTCAAAAGCAAAGAAAGGAAAAGGCGCATGTCCTGCGCGTCCCGCCTGCGCTTTATCAAAACTCGACAACGAAGAAAATTACGACGAGAGCGTCGGATGCGGTGTTTGAGTGTAAAACTCGTAATCTTCCACGCGTTCTCCGCCTTCTATATCAGCTCGCAGCTGCGAGTGACCGAAACCACTGGCTCACAAAGTGATGTCCTCGTTCCGAATGCTATTGTCAAAATCTTCATGTTCCTGTGCGCTCGCGTCTTCTCTTCCTCGTCATTAAACATGCACGACGTCATTGTGTCTGGAAAATGGGAGAAAAACGTGTCATGTCTAAAAACCGTCAAAATCCGAATATATGGGTTGGCGCTGGGTGTGGTGGTGGTGTTCGCGTTGGGTACGCGTGCCGATGATGATGATGATCGGCATCATGGTAGCGGAATGAGGTTGAACCAAGGATCAGGTTCAGTGTGAGTCAAGGGCGCGCTCTGTCCTTCGTTGTGGAATGAGGAACGTGCCTGTGGGATGGGGTTGCGTAATGGGGTCTAGCCATGACTAGGCCCCAGTCTGAGTCAAAGGTGCACTCTGTCCTTCGTTATGGAATGGGGCTGTGCAATGAAGGATGGGAGTGTGGCATGAGGTTGCGGAACGAGGTTGTGACCTCATGGTGGGACCACCGAGGTTGATGACGTAAGCTCCTAGCGTGGTATCGACGCGTCACGTCTCCGACCACCATCGTGGTGCTCCTTCCTTTATCATCGCGTGTGTTGTTCGCCGATGCGTGGATCGTACTGCTCGGTGGTATCGTTTCCAACATACTAGTTTAGTATTGCGTATCGCTTGTCTTTGCGCGGGCCGCTTTTCCTTCTACTCTTCACCCACCATCCATGCGCTCGGCGCCATCGTCGCCACATCAGTCCCAGCGCATGAACACCCTTGTATCGTTTTTTTGTATTTTCATATTTTCGTCTAGCTATGTACACGTCCGCATTCTCAAGTCCCACCATTAACCCTCCGATACTATAAACACACCCGCTGTACAAAGACTCGCTCTCACGACCATCGCAAACCACTAACCCGATACCGAACACGTTATAAGCACGCAATGACAAACAAGGCTTTTCCAGAAAGCCTATCCGATGTACCGACCGCAATCAGCAAAGAAAAGAGAACGGACGACCATGTCCGTCCGTAAACCATCGTTCCGTAAATAAATAAGCGATCGAAACTCGAAACATTATGCCAAAGACAACGCCCACGCAAAGAAAGAACAACATCGTCAGCAATCCCTTCATACCATCTTCGAATCTAGCTACTTTATATCCTGGGTCGTGCCCTTCGTTGCCTGCTTACTTCCCCCTACCGGTGGACTTCTTGGCCGGACCCTGATTGCTGGAACCATGAGGCGCGCCGCCGGTGCCCTGACCCCTTCCAGCGCCCGTGACAGGAGCTACAGTATGAGGCGCTGGATGACGATGTGGTGTAGTATCACGCGGTGCGCTGGTGGGTCCTGGTGTGTTAGTTGGCCTTGTCTGTTGAAGAGGCGGAGTTCCATGACGAACATGAGGCGTGGTGGCTGCAGGAGTTGAAGGCGCTGGGTTACGATGTGGTGTAGTATCACGTGGTGCGCTGGTGGGTCCTGGTGTGGTAGACGCTCGTGCCTGTTGGACACGCGGAGTTCCCTGACGAATAGGAGGCGTGGTGACTACAGGAGTCGATGGCGCTGGGGAGGCACTTGGTCGTAGGGGGACGTTGGAAATCTCGCGACGACGTAAGGGCGGCGGTGATCCGGATGCCGCACTGGGCGGGGAGCCTATGAAGCCTTGGCCAGGGCTACTTGCAGCGTGCGTAACATTTCTGCTTTTCTTTGCCTGTGGTTTCGGTATTGACCCGCTGGGCTGTCGAGTTGTGCCAGGGGCCGGGGTGTTCGTCCGCGACGCGAGAGCTCCTCCGCCGAACGATTGATTGCTCTCACTAGTAGACGGCCGCGAATGCACTTGGCCGGCTGCTAAATTTTGGGGAAACAAGGGCGCTAATCCTTCCCTAGTATGACCCTGATCTGAAGGACTACCCAATAGACGCATTTGCTCCATCCAGCTATTATGATCTTGGTATGTTTCGCCTCTCTCCGCTGCATGCCTCGCGATCTCGTACTCCGTGTGTTGTGCATTGGGCGTAAGAATCGGCGATGGTCCTTTATCCAATGGAGAGTTGCTTTTCTCAGAATGGATTTGACGTGCAACAGCTGGCGGTGACACTGACGGCCCATGTGTGTGCATCCTATTTCCAGAGGACCCCAGAGAGCTTGCGTTTGACGCGGCACGACTACGGGGGTCTACACCGCCGCGGAGAGGGGACTGGCCTACGACATTTGGTAAGCCTCCCCCAGTTGCGGGTGATGGCTGGCGGGTTCTAGGGTGCTCAGGATCAGATTCCCCTGAAGCGTCTACACTATCCCCACTAAATGGAGTTAATCCCGTTCGACCGCTAAATGGGGGTGCCCCTGGACCCTGGGGGTCAAGGGAACCAGCCCTCAACGAATTACGAACTTGGCTGCCTGTATCAGAAGGTGTGGAGGGATTATTATACAATGGGTCACCCGAATTAGGCTGCCAACCATCTTGATCGTCTTCAATATGGGGCTGCTGCGCTTGGGCTCCATGTCTTGGGCTATGTTCAACTGCTCTTCCACCCTGGAGAGCGGAGGATTGAGCCTGATTTTCATGCTGCTGTGAAGAAGGGTTATCTAATTCGCGACCGGCCTGAGGAGATTGAATAGGTGCCACGGATCGCCGGCTAGCTAGATAAACTTTTTCCGCCCGACTGCCCTTTCTGAATCCTTCATACCCGTCATGGGGACTGAAGTTGTCAGGCAGCCTAGCTGGTCCAAACCTTTTGAATGTCCTCTCTAGGCACTTGTCTTTCTCGTCCCGCGTTGACTGTGGCACTCTGCCGTCTCCAGCATTGACGAGCTTTTTAGCGTAATCGACTACATGCTCTTCTGCCCAGATGTGGGAAAGTTCATCCACATCCTCGTTGGACGGCCATACATGGGCCTTCTGTAGAGCGGTCAACTTGGCCCTTTTTCTGGTCAGCCGGAAAAGATGGTCGACTTGCTGCTTTTGGGATTTATTTAGGTTTCGAAAAACTGGATTCGTAGAACTTTGCGTAATGGAATGTAAAGTTGGGTTTGTAGGGGGATTTGGAGGATCATCTGTAGGAGGGTTTGCTTGAGTGGCTGGAGGAAGGAATGAAGTGCTTGTAGGAGGATTTATAGGAGGATCCGTAGGACGATTCGTAGGACGATATACTTGAGAGGCTGGAGGAAGACTTGGAGGTATGCTTTTTCCCGCGCCTGCCGAGTAGCTGCTTTGACGGAGTGGATCTTGAGCTGCGGCATGACTGTGCCTTTGGATGCTCGTCCCGTAGCCACTAGAGGATTGATCTGTAACACGTGGTGGACCTGTGCTAATTTCAGGCGCCGGAG